CCCAATCCCACTAAATCTAAGGATATTTCAGCCTTCTTGTTAGTCTACCGATTACCAATCCGGAGGTAGAAATGTAAGGCTTTCTATATAACAAGTAATTGATTATCAAAAGTTGGACGGAAAGACATCTATTGTATAAAATATGGACATGAGGATAAACTTACCAAAACCATAAACCAAACCGGCCAAGAAAAGTCTCCATTTTTGAAACTCACTAAGAAACCAAGAAAAGACAAACCAGGTCTCACAAATAACTAAGGTCAAACACAGAGTATATGCATCTTTCACTCGACGAGGTGTACATTAATGCAAGATGATAAGGTGTCATGATTTGAACCACAAGTTTATAGGCAGTCTAGCATCATCAACACTGCAAGTACAAGATCCATCAATAACCAGAAGCATTTATATCATATTAGTTGTTCATTGAAATGTAATCACCCTAAAGAAGTTTTAAAGCTTCCACTTCTTTCATGCACACTTCCATTACCTCGCAATTCCTACAATAAGAATTTTTTCAAAAGCGACAAATCAATTCCACAAGTAACAATGAATATTTTATTACTTTTCACTACAATGAGATGTGGGCTGTAAGAGTTTTTCTCGACAAACTCTTTCTTTAACTTTTTGCTATCAATTTGTATAAAAAAAACAGATAGTTAGATAATATTTGAGTATTCAAAGTTTGAAGTACCAGAATATAAAGAATGAAGAAACAAAGCTTTTTCGGGTTTGTTACGGTCAAGATTCTCGTCCTTCTTCTTTGTCTTTATCGTCTCTTTCTTATCTGCAAGAAACATGTGTTGTTGCCTAGCAAGTAATTATAATCTTTTCTACCAGCCCATCATCAGAAATGTTTTAAAAGATACCAAGATGAAAGTGTGGAATCGATGATACATTTTTAGGAAATTCAAATGCAGTTCGAGAAATTACCTGAAAGCAGGCCAAGAGGGCCAAGAGGCACCAACAACACTACCCATTCAATTTCTCACCATTCTCTCGGTTCTCACATCAAAAACCAAATACAAATATTATTTCAGATGAAGGTAAAATTGCACATAACGTTGTTGTAAACAGTCAAGTAAAAAATATAGGATACACACACCAAGTTGTTAGAAACTTACAGGACGCTTATGAACAGGTTTCAAGCTTCTTTGCCTAACATCTTGACTCTTAGAATTATGAGCTTTCTGCAAATAACCCAGATATTGAGACAATGTTTTAGCAAAAGTGGATCAAAACCCAACTCAAAGTAGAAAATACGCTACTCTTAAGAACAATGTTTTAAGGAGAACGAGAGCTAGATCAGATGGAAGTATAATTTTTATTGGATAAACTTATTGAAATTAGAAGGGAAGACTGAACGGAATAGAAAACAATCATGAACTCACCAATGTAAATGAAAGATTCCTAATCGGAATATAGAAAGAAATACCGGAACTGTATATACATCACTGAATTCATCGAAACACAAGTTCTTTTGCAGCGGAGTCAACATCGTGATCTACACGTACAAGTACTGAAATCAATAGAAAACAGTCATGAACTCACAAATTATACAAAGAAATCTGCTCAAGTCAAGTGACAAAACTGAACTAAGAACTAAGAAGGGCTGAAGTAGCCCCTTGTTAACTTTACTCCAAAAACAAAGATGAGCCAAAATCAGAGAATACATGAAGTAAACATAGAGAACCTTATCAAGTACCTCTCCCTTGGCAGTAATTCTATCCATCTCCAAAATCATCATCCGTACAAATATTTCACATGTAACAACAACCTGCAATAAGAAAACGCAGGTAGAATTCACATGTTAGGTTTTAAATTCTTCACGAATTGCTCCACCACAAGCGTTTTCGAGTTCCTGCTTGAATTTAATCAAAAACCCTTGACAAACAAAGAAACGATTGTACCAGTGATCAACCAAAGATCTAGTCCGATATAAGCAGTAGCAATCTCCCAGAAATATAACAAAATTAAAAATCACAAAGACCCTAAGTAACACTTACGAACATGAAATCCTTCCATCGACGAAGAGTTCGTCATCGTCTACATGATAGTTCCAGAAGAAAAGCATAATAATCAGAAACAGCCTTGTTCGAATTTCAACTTACGAAGATGTTAGCCTTCGATTCCTTCACGATTTGACTCCACCTTAAGGCGTTTCGAGTTCTTCATCCTCCGTCTTTTGCTTCATCGACGATCTATCGTTCCAGAGAGAACACAAAAATCGGAAATTTTTTTGTTTGAATTTCGAGAACCCAAATTGGACCGTTGAGCCTTAAGGCAGAGAAGCGACTTCTTATTATTGAGGATTTTCTCTCTAAGTCGGTGCTGATTTCTTCTGGGTTTTAGAGACCAAACGGTCGAAAGATCGTCGTAATTGAAAGCTGAAACGATTTATGACCGTTTGGAGAGTTACTCTCCGAGAGTATCAATTAAACCAAACCAATCTTCAATTAAACCGAACCAATATTCAAGTAAACCAAACCAATGTTTAAATTAAACGCATGGATTTATCTAAACTTTTCGATTTAATATTTTATTACCATCCATGTTAAATCTGCCATCAGAAATAATGTAAGCTTTTATAATGCGGAGATTCAAATCGGTGAGAATTTGTACAACTTCTAACAAAATCCCATTTATTTAAAAACATTTTCAGTAGTAAAATTTGATCTTAACACATGTATTATTTTATAAAAAATTTTATTTCCAAAGATATGCAAAAATAATTTGAATAACCAGATTACAACATTGATGTATAATTGATTAACTTTGATTAGTCACAAAGGTTTTTTTTTTCTTTCAAAAACTAAAATGAACGGAAAGTAAAAAGAATTAGAAAACCAAATTCTTGAGCTATTATTTTTTATTCATAACTCGAAATAGTTTCAAAATTTATGGCAATATTTTTCCAAAATAAGCAACATTGAGATCATGACACTTGAAACAAAAACATATTGTATCTATACTAATATTTTTGAAGTACATTTTTAGTGGATGGGACAATATGTGTTTGGATACAATGGGTATCTGAACCGTTTACAAATTTTGGTCATAAAAAGTTTGTTGGGTCGGATTATATTTAACCAACTCATACACTGAATATTCCATATTTAATAATCCTATACTATTATTTGGGGAGTACAATTTATAATTACCCTTTAATAACCTTCCCCTTTGTAAGTTATTACATTAAAATGTCATTAGAGATAAAAATATAAAGAGTAAATTAATTTAGCTCATTAAGGATAAACAAGTCAAATACTAATTTATGAAATTTAATTAATTTAATTATTAAAAACGAAAATATATTATTAACTTAAAATTTTTTTTTAATATATGTATTATTTTATAAGAATTTTCATTTCCTAAGCTATGCATAAAGAATTTGAATAGCCAGATTACAACATTGATATATAAGTGATTTACTTTGATTAGTCACAAAGATTTTTTTTTTCAAAAACTAAAATGAACGGAAAGTAAAGAGAATTAGAAATCCAAATTCTTGAGCTAGAATTTTATATTCATAACTCGAAATAGTTTCAAAATTTATGGCAATGTTTTCACAAAATAAGCAACATTGAGATCATGACACTTGAAACAAAAACATAATGTATTTATTTTATAGTTATAACTAATAATTATATATATATATATATATACTACAAGAAAACAAGCGATTACCGACTACGGTCGGCGACTAATTGTGTAGTCGTTAATTTATACGACTAAAATACGACTACTCTGCGACTAATGTTAAGACTACAAGTATATAGTCGTATAATAGTCGCTAATTAACGACTACATACTGTAGTCATTCAAATAGTCGTAATATAGCGACTATTATACGACTATCATATAAGACCCCGACTATAGTCGTATCGTAGTCGCTAAATAGGCGACTATTTTGAATGACTATTGAACGTAGTCGCTAAATAGGCGACTACTTTATGACTACATTGCATACGGAAAAAAGTAGTCACAAAAAAGTCGCTAATTTGGTGACTAATATGTGACTACAAAACATAGTTACCTTCTGGTGGTTTTGTAGTCACTATTTAGTCTCCATAACTGTTTATATAATCAAACTTCACCATTTTTTTCTAAAACCTAAATACAAAACTTTAAATCTCAAAATTCAAAAAAATTATCTAGTTACAATAATATATCCATAAACTGAAAACTAACACTTATAAAAAATTATAGTTTTCCAAATCTTATTTTTTAATCAAAACTTAACCCCAAATCTTAAACTTAAACCCCAAACCCTATACTTCAAACCCTAAACTTAACCTCCAAACCCTAAAGTTTAAATTTTAAACTCTTCTAATGCATTATGCATATATATAAATTAGATCACAAACCATTCAACCAAAATATAACCATTATATATGTATAAAAACATTTTTATTTAAAAAGTGTTTGATTTGATTCTTTTAATTATATATTATATATATATATATATTATTTTATTTTCAAAACTGGAATCATACACTTAAAAAAATATAAAATTTCAGATTTATAAATCTAAATTCTTTGAAATCTATATCAAATCTAATAATTTAGTATTAAAATTAAATTTATGAACTGTTGTATTAAATTTAAATTCCAAATCGGTTGCATTTCAACCCATAGTTTATTAAATTAATTTTGGAAGACTTAAAATCTGGATTTAAAATTAGGGGAAATGAAATTTGAGTAGGGGAGAAATGAAATTTGGGCCTAAAATTCTTCAAAGCCTTTACTCTTTTATTTTTGTGACGAAGTCTTTCTCGGTTTTTCCCTTATCTCCTCTCTAACCTAATACCCTCGCATCCACAGCTCGCCAGCTCGCCTCCACCACAAATGAACGCCGTTTTGCCTCTCCGGCGTCAGGTGCCTTCGCCGGTGACGTGAGAGGGATCCTTTGTGTCAATGGTGTTATCTAATCCCTCATATATGGTTGTCAGTGGTGGTCGTCGGAGATATAGAGTTCGTGATTTGAGATCTCAATTTGCGGCGCCTCGAGACAACTCCGTGGCTCGTGTTGATGGCCTCCAATTTGTGGAGTTCGCGGCGAGAGGATCCACACGGTACAGCTGGAGAGGGATTCAATGGCTAATTTCGAAGTTGATTTGTCGGAGAATCTAGAAGAATACCTTCAAAATTATTACCGGAGAACTCACTGGAAATGAAGAAGATGGGCAGATTCCTGTGAATTCGCTGAAGGTTTGTGGTATTTTGCTTCGATTTTCAGAAATTTGTTTTTCGTTTGATTTCAACTTATTCCATTTTTAGGGTAATTGAGAATTGGGTTTCAAATTTTGTGTTGCTCTAAATCTGTAGCTGTTTTACTGCTTCAGGGCTCGGTTCAAGTTTACTCACAAGAAAGTTGAGTACTTGTATAATTTGGTTCTACGTACGTTGGAGTTTCTATCAAAGCAAATGTTTGTCCTTTTGAACTCCTTGTGTTTTTTCGCTTAGTGAATATCTAAGCTAATTGAACTAGATAAAACATAATTACTTGTTTGTGAATATCCTAGCATCTCAGTTTTAGGGGCTAACTTCGATTCATATTTCTCTATGTGTATGGGTTTTGTTTCGTGTTCACAGATGAAGTGAATGTATACCATGGTTGCCACTGTTTATATCAGAGGAGTGATGTCATTTTGTCCAGCGCAGCCTAAGAGATGTTTTAGAAAAGTCCCAACACTTTGAGTTTAAGGTACAAGTTCACTTGCTCTCATATTTTGAACGTACATAGACTTCGGACAAAGTAAATTTGTTTATTGTCTTTGCTTCTTGTTATTGCTATACTACTATGGATGCCTGATTATTTTATACAGAGTCAAATGAGCTTCATGACCGAGTTGCTACCCCATGGATGAATGATTGTGCTTTTTGATAATAAACTATAGATTTTTAGTTCTGCTTTAACATCAACAAAGTCTATTTTTTGTGTTTAATATGAATGTAAGTATCATTAATCAACGGGTCATTAAGTTGCCAAAATGACGCTTGTGTCTTAAGAACTGTTTGACTTATCTCGCCAAGTTCTTTGCATTTTAAATTTCAGCTCGTATTGATATAGTCTTTGATGCTTTCGTCTTATGTGTGTTTGTATTCTAGAGTTGGATAGTTAGACCTAGTTGGCGTGCTCTCTTAAGATGTTATGTCCTTGCCTTCTCATGTTGCGTTTCTTTTTTCAGGTAGAGGATCTCGACCAGACCAATAACTAGGAGGCAGTTTTTGGAGAAGAAAAGCATAAAAAAGTAAGACAAGGAAGAAGAGTTGAAATCAAAAGAGTTAATTAAGCCAAGTTCTTTCTTGAAGATTGTTATCTACTTGGTTTTAATTATGTTTTTAGGAGGATGATGTATTCTTATTTTTAATTATGTTTTTAGTTTTATTTTGTAATACATTTTTTAAAAATATGGTTTCATAATAATTAAATATAATATTTTTATTTTTAATATTATTTGATTCCAAAAAACATTATTCATAATTTAAATATAGTTTAAAATAATTAATAACAATATAAATATTATTATTGAATTAATTTATATATATATATACATAAGCTGTATAAATACAATAATGTATAAATACATAAATACTGTAGAAATACGATCATAGTCGCAATATAGTCGTCAATTAGTCACTAAATTTGGCGACTACGCTACGACTATTCTTACGACTATGAATAGTAGTCGTAAAGTAGTCGCTAATTGGCGACTATTTTTACGACTATACATTTTAGCGACTCTCGATTTACGACTACGTTATTTAGTCGCTATTTAGTCGTAACTCACCATTTAGCGACTATTTGGCGACTTTTAGTGCAGTCGCTAAAACCCAGTTTTCTTGTAGTAATTATAAGAAGCTTTTAAGAAAATTAGGTATAGTGATAACTAATAATAATCTATTTATCTACATCTTTTCAACTCTTTTATATCATTATCAAATGATATTTGAGAACTATATCATTATCAAATGATATTTGAGACCTATATCATCATTACCTTGAATCCATGTTCAAAAAATTGGTAGGCGGTAGGTAGCGTTTGATAGACGCCTAACGCCAGATCGATTACTCGGAGACTAGGAGGGACCTATACGTGTTTTAATTCCTAATCAAATTTGAGTTCGATCGTAAATTTGAGTCCGATCAGTGGTTGACTAACGATAAACGGTCTTTAACAACTTGTTTTTCTGTTTATTTAGTTTTCCAAATTCACACGTGTTAGTCATAATAGTAAAGATAAAAATATTAATTACGAACTCTAGAAAATATTTTTCTAATTTTTAGGGTTTATATACACTTTAGAAACTAATAAAACCAAAAAAAAAATTTATGTCATCAATGGTCGTTTACTATTCCGATCGGAATTATTTTGACCATTAGTCAACTACTGTTCGAGCTCATACTTGATAACTTGCATGTTTATTTAGAAAAAGTTAATTAGTTGGAAGTTTTATATGGAACGAAAAAAAAAAAGTTTTAATTGGAAAATATTTTTAATTTGGAGGTTTCAGTTGAATTTTTAAAAAAACAAATTGGAGGTTTTTGAGCTTTTTCCTAAATCTTACTATCTTTTAATCGTATTCTAATCTTAGAACATCTCCATCGGTAGACATGATGGGAGTTTCCAAAAAAAAAAAAACATTATTTAATTAAATTATTTTATATATATATTTTATAATTAAACCAGTAAATTTATGACACGTGTGCAGAAACGTTTCTCAGAGTTTCTCGTTTGAGAAACTGTTTCTCTCTCGCTTCATTTATTACTTTTTTATTAATAAATTTTGATCAGAAATTCTCTCCCATCCAACCGATGAAGGTGCTCTTACACATTCTATTTTGAAATACAATTTAACTATTTATTTTATGAGAATAACACTGATTTTAATTCTACACACTGATTTTAATTCTACACACTCCTTCTTAATATATAAGAGCAAAAAAAAAATCTAAATAGTCTACCTCATTAATGATATTTAAATTCTAAATAATAACCCATAAACATTTTCTATTTTTGTCACTAAATATATTAACAAAATTAGACTTGACACTTGTCAAAATCTAATAGATAGATATGATACGTATCGCAATCACGTGAGTTAGTAACTTTGAAAACTTAATTTTGATATAATAAGATATATATACGTATAGGTTCCTATTCTTTATAAATTTTTTTTCTTAAAGTTATATTTTTATTTAGTAAGATATATATACTTTTATGATAATTATCTTCTTTAAATTTTTTGAATTGTTTTATATAAGATAAATAAGTATAGTTTCCTTATAAATTTTTTCTTTTAAATAAATAAAAGGAAAGATTGGGTAATAATTTTTTGTTGTGTGATTTCACTCAAAACCTGAAAGAATTTTGTAAAAAGAATACTTTTTTAATGACGAAAAATAAAACGAGTAAAAGCAAAAACAGAGCGTGTAGACGAGGCCCGAGCACATGGGAAGGGAAAGATGCAACGCATAAAACTCACGCCGACGCTGAGTCAACACGTGAGTCAACTCGAGCCTCATATTTTATAATAAAAAAATAGTTAAATTTCTAAAATTAAGAGAGACATTACTCTCCTCTCCTCCTTTCTCGCTCCAAATCTCTCTTTCTCCTTCTTTTCCACATTTTAGTCCACAAATCTCCATTTCTGTCGGTGCTCCAAGATCCAAGCTCTCTCATCATTATCATCTCCAGGTACGCTCTGTTCTTCCTCATTTCCTCCAGATTCGTTCTCGATTTCTCTGTTTTTACTCTAATCAATGCCTCAATTCCCGTTGCTATCTTACTAGATTCGCATTTTTCATGGTTTCGCTTTATCACGATTCTGCAATTTTCTCAAAATTTCTTAGCGTAATGGGATGATATAGATCTAAATACTTTCTCATAACAATTTCGTTCTCGAATTTCTCTGTTTTAGTTTGAAATCCATGGCTTCTTCATTCATCTGAAGATTCTTCAATTTCCGTTTCTGGCTACTAGATTCGCCTTTTGATTTGGTTTTGATTCGTAACGATTCTGTGATTGTTACGAAAATGCTTAGCGAAATGAGATCTTAACTTTTGCAATGGGATTAATGGCAGATCCGAATTCTGCAACAACAATGACAATTAGCAACGGAGATGTCAAATCTGATACCTGCAACAATGGTTCTTCTGAGAAGAAACCTTTCAGGATCTTTGTTGGTTACGATCCACGCGAAGATCTTGCTTACCAAGTCTGTCGTCATTCAGTCACCAAAAGATCTTCAATCCCTGTAGAGATCATACCGATTGTTCAATCAGATCTTCGAAAGAAAGGTCTGTATTGGAGAGAAAGAGGTCAGTTAGAGAGCACTGAGTTCTCTTTCTCTCGTTTCTTGACTCCTCATTTGTCCGATTACCAAGGTTGGGCTATGTTCGTCGACTGCGATTTCCTCTACCTTGCTGATATCAAGGAACTTACTGATTTGATCGATGATAAGTACGCGATCATGTGTGTTCAACATGATTATACTCCTAAGGAGACTACTAAGATGGATGGTGCGGTTCAAACCGTTTACCCGAGGAAGAACTGGTCTTCGATGGTGCTTTACAATTGTGGACATCCTAAGAACAAGACCTTGAGCCCTGAGATTGTTAATACTCAGACTGGTGCGTTTCTTCATAGGTTCCAGTGGCTTGAGGACGAAGAGATTGGGTCTATTCCCTTTGTGTGGAATTTCCTTGAAGGGCACAATAGGGTTGTTGAGAAGGATCCCACCACGCAGCCTAAAGCGGTGCATTATACTCGTGGAGGGCCTTGGTTTGATGCTTGGAAGGATTGCGAGTTTGCGGATCTCTGGCTTAATGAGATGGAAGAGTACAACAAAGAGAGCAAGAAAGAAGCCGATAATACGAAGAAGTAGAAAGAAAGAAGTAAGAAGAAGAAGAGGTATGTTGTTACTTACCAACACGAGTAGTGCACTTCCCTAAAGATTTCGTTACATGTATTACATATAGTTTTGGCTTTGTAGAGCCACGGATCTTTAGTCTTGTGGAGGGCTATGAAGTTATATTTCATTGAATTCGTTAAATCATTTGCAACACTAATACCAATATTAAGGTCTTATGGTATAATAACCCTATTCGTTTGTTTGTTGTGTTTGTACCTTTAATGGTATTTTATTTGTATAATTGCTCTCAAATTAAGCAACTTATTTGATATGTGACTTTATGTAGCACTTCTATTCAGTTGGTTTATAATGAGCATTACCTCAACATATATAAAACATAGATGTAATAATGATCATTAGCTAGTAACCTTGGGGATGATCAACGGCTGTAACGAGGTAGACTCACCTTCGTGGACGAGTAACTACCGAAGGTGACTACGTCCTTTAAAGGTACACTTCTTAGTGTGACTATTGGTCATCGGTTCCCTCTCACTTTATAGAGGATCCCGTTCTCGTTACCACCAGGTGTTGTTCAAGACTTCTTCTCATAGGGAGACAACTTTCAAGCTCTCTTTGCAGGATTGCAATTTCAAACACACCATACTACAAACACATTCACAAGCATACTATACTAACAATTTCTGCAACCATCAACTCCTGTATCCCAAAAAGCGGACACGTGGCAAACGAGTGACACTAGAGAGCACCTGAAGAAAAGGTTTTCTGCATCAGCGTTAAAATATAGTCTCTCCCGCATTAGTTCATCGGGAGAAACATGCAACTCAAGAAACGCACATCTTGCGTGTATACAGTTGCCAAAAGTAGAACCCAAATGTGGTGGTGTCTAATGAAAGTCTAGCATATTGAACCTACTCTAACGTCGCTCCTACAAGAAGTTGATATGTAAACCACCACCACATATTTTTTAGTATCTAGTATTCGAACCCAGAACCCATGTAATGTACTTTCTTATATGTACATACCTAAGCATCATTCATCGGGACTCTTGAATCAAACCTCATTTGAATCCACTCCCTCTCCACAATAATCTTACTCTATATAGAGAGAAAACACTTATAAACACTCAAAATACTTTGACCTTTCACTTGTATTATTATTCATTTTGACATGTTCTTTTGTTCATCTTCTATTCTCGCACTGATCAGTAGAGAGTCTTTTTCTAATTTTCATTTGTTACTCATTCCTTATTGGGAGGTGCTCAACTTGGTTCTTAGCTCAAAAGAGATTAAAATTAAAGGTTTAATTGATGATTTTGCTAAGGAATGACTCTTAGCTAAGAGTCAAAACTTGGGCTAAGAACCAAAAAAATTACTAAGAACCAAAACTAAGCACCTCCCAATAATGTTGCTCTTACTCTCCATCCGGCGAAGATCTTATACCATCTTCATCAGTGTTTCCCGTAGAAACTTAATATCTACTTAACATTTTTGAAGTACAAATTTGCTCCTCTAATCGGGTCGGGTTTTATCTGATTTTGACCCGGAAATCTTCAATCGGATCTTTTCTTAAATTATGGCAAAATTTAAAAACGAAAATACCTAATAAAATCTAAATTATATATATTTTCTCAACTAATTACTATATCTAAACTCTTTATTTATGGTATATTCTTTACAATTTTTATAGATTAGAAAATCAAATATGATAATTTAATGCCACTTTTATTTGATCTTATATTTATATTATTTTGAATTATTATAAATATATATAGTTAATAAATTTTAGTTTTTTTTTTCTGCATATTTTATAATTCAAAATTTTTAAAACAGACATATATTACTCAATCGATGAAGAAAAAAAGTATGTGTGTAATCTATATTAACATTTTTTAAGAACAAATTGCACATTTAATCAGATCTTTTTTTTTTATTATGACTCGAAATTGAGTCATTTAAATCTTTTTTTAATTTTTACAATTATCTAAAACGGGACAGTATACCATGGTGAGATCCTAAAATTAACAAATCAAAATACAATTATTTAGTATTTTAAGATACAATTATAAATTGTTTTTACGGGTTGGTCCAAAAACATATACTAATTTTAAAATATATATATTATGGAAACCATTTGAAAGTAAACTTTTAAATTGACTCGAATTATATGTTTTATTTAAGACTCGAATTATATGTTTTATTTAAGACTCGAATTATATGTCTTTTAAATAAAAGTGTTATTAGAAAAAATAACAAAATGATGTTTAATTCCACAGGACAGGAGTATATGGTGGGACGGGTTTGGGTCGATATTAATACGGGACAATATACCACGGGTGAAATCCTAGAATTAACAAATCAAAATTTAATTATACAATTTTAAACAATAAACAAAACAAATACAACTTAAAATTATTATTTTTTATATACAACGCATGTGACCTGCGGTGTACAACAAAAAATATTATACACAACAAATTTATCAGTTTATAAAAAGATAAAAAAAAATCAAATAAATTAATCTGCGGTGTACCGCGGGTCATATCCTAGATAAAATAATAACTAAAAAGACAAAAAGTAGGAAAGAGGGAGAGAAACGTATCTGAAATGAGAACCACGAAAAATGTTTCTCAAACAAATTCGCCACTTGTCAATCAATTATTGGTTTGGTTATTAAAAAATAATGAAAATATATTACATTATTAAAATAATAATTTTTTTTTTATTGAGATACCCAGAAGAATATCTCCGGATGTAGATGCTCTTAACCCCAAATTGTTACCCGTTCTGATAAAAAAAAATACATTGTTACTGACTTTTATATTCTCACCCACCATCACTATGCATCATATTGATTAACTACAACTACAATTGAAATGCACAATTATAGTAAATGTTGTCGAGATCCTCTTTTCTTAGTTTGCAATGCACAACTACAATTGAAATAAAAAAAAAGCTTCTCCATCATTGCTATATGATATCTCATGTTCTTTTTCATCGTTTGATATCATCTTGTAGGTGATACAATTATTACTCTAATCTTACAACAATAATCTCTTACAACAATAATAGCTATCTTTTTTTTTTTGACAGCAACAATAATAGCTATCTATATATGTTTTATTTTTATTTTCTTAAAACATAATTATATAATTTTTATAAAAGTATTAGGCCGCAGATTGGTCTTTTTTCTAAATGCATTTCAACCATTTGAAATCGATGCGTGTAATATGCTAATCCACAATATCCATTTTTTTTCTTTCTAGAATTATGACTTTAAAAGTTCGACTGGTTTCGTTTTTAGTAAATTAAGAGTAACGTAGAATAAAAAAAGGGGAAGAAAAGTTAATAATGAAAGAAAATATTTTCTTCATTTTGTTGGATTTAATTGGTGAGCATGGTTAGAAGAAAATAAAAATAACTCTATATTTCTTAACTATTTGTCACTGAAAACCAAAAATAAAACATTTTTCCCAGAAAAAAACTTTCTTTTTTCTGAATTTTCTATTTTTGACCGGACAAAGAGTAGGGTAGCCAGAGTAATTTTTGTACTTACATTCCTCTAACCTACTCTGGTGAGACCTAACTCATTCCCTAATAGAACGGTGTCCACGAGGCTCATAGTCCTACAAGCATGTGATAGTTGTCACAATTACCTTATTAAGCTCTCTTTGCTTACTCCAACCCTTCTAATAATATTTGTTTGCTACTGACTTTTCACTAAATTACAAAAGTAAAATTAGGGGAAAAAGTAAAATAAAAAAGAAGAGAAAAATCAAAGCGATAAGTGTATGTACACACGATTGGGCCTTTCCCCAAGACCTGTGGCATCAGAAAGTTTTTGTGGCTCTAAAAATAAGAAAAATGGTCCAATGTTATATATCAAAGATCTGAACTCAGACTGTACCAAGAATCAATAATTTCTGACTTAGTCACGTTTCTTTGTTTCTCCAAACGTCCATAAATGATAGCGACTCTAGCAGCACCCTCTTCTCTCACAAGCCTCCCTTTTCGAACCATATCTTCTTTCGGTTCACCGTCGCTTCTCTTTCGGTCTCCATCCTCCTCAGTCTCTATGACAACAACAACAACAACGGCGCGAGGGAACGTGGCTGTGGCCGCTGCTGCGACATCCACCGATGCGCTAAGAAAAGGAATAGCGGAATTCTACAATGAAACTTCGGGTTTGTGGGAAGATATTTGGGGAGATCATATGCATCATGGCTTTTATGACCCTGATTCTTCTGTTCAACTCTCTGATTCTGGTCACCGGGAGGCTCAGATCCGAATGATTGAAGAGTCTCTTCGTTTCGCCGGTGTTACTGGTTCGTTTCTTCAATCTTTTGCTCTGATCCTAATGATTGAGTTAGATACTCTGTTTGTTATTAATTATATGGTTAACGAACAAATAAAATAGTTTTATCCGTATTTCCTACGTGTATATGGAGGCTAACCGTTTAGCCGACGGGTTAGCTAACTATGGTTTTTCCTTGTCTATTGGTTTTCATTCTTGTATTGTTGTTCCGGATGTTGTTGCTTCGCTGCTTAGCGACGACGTTATTGGGTCTGCGCGCCCAAGACGAGTCCGCTCGTAGTTGTTTTTTTTTTTTTTAATAAATGGGAGCTAGCCTCCCCTCTCCTACCAAAAAAAAAAGTTAATAATACAACAAATTTTAAACCACAAATAATCTTATATTATTGTCTACAGAAATAACTAGGGATAGTTGTCTTTTTGTACTCAAATAATGTAATCTGTTACCCCCATGAAAGGTGGTTTATTAGCCACGTTCCATCCAGAAGCAGCAAGCCATCTCTAACATTAGTTTTATTTTTATGAACCATATTTTTTTACATTTGAATCAAGAGATGATATTAAGCTTAATGAATACATATTTCTAAACTTAAAAGTATATAGTTTAGAAATATATACTTTTTATTTCTGGTGTGTTATTATTGCCTTTTTATTATACATATGAAGTTGAGTTGATAACATTTACATGATTGTGATTGAAAAAGATGAAGAAGAGGAGAAAAAGATAAAGAAAGTAGTGGATGTTGGGTGTGGGATTGGAGGAAGCTCAAGGTATCTTGCTTCTAAATTTGGAGCTGAATGTATTGGCATTACTCTCAGCCCTGTTCAGGCCAAGAGAGCCAATGATCTCGCGGCTGCTCAATCACTCTCTCACAAGGTAGCTTTGGATAAAAATAACCTTCTATTGTGGGAATTTCATCTAACTAAAGGACATTGGACCTATAGGTATCTTTTCAAGTTGCGGATGCGTTGGATCAGCCATTCGAAGATGGAAAATTCGATCTGGTGTGCTCGATGGAGAGTGGTGAGCATATGCCTGACAAGGCCAAGTTCGTGAAAGAGTTGGTACGTGTGGCGGCTCCAGGAGGAAGGATAATAATAGTGACATGGTGTCATAGAAACCTATCCGCGGGGGAGAAAGCTTTGCAGCCATGGGAGCAAAACATCTTGGACAAAATCTGTAAGACATTCTATCTCCCGGCGTGGTGCTCCACCGATGATTATGTCAAATTGCTGCAATCCCATTCTCTCCAGGTTACTATATTTCCTACCCTTTACAGCCAAAAACACAACTTAATTAGAATTTGTTATTTAACTAGTGTCTGAAATATGTGTTTGTAGGATATTAAGTGTGCGGATTGGTCAGAGAACGTAGCTCCTTTCTGGCCTGCCGTTATACGGACTGCATTAACATGGAATGGGCTTGTGTCTCTGCTTCGTAGTGGTATGAAGAGTATAAAAGGAGCGTTGACAATGCCATTGATGATCGAAGGTTACAAGAAAGGTGTCATTAAGTTTGGCATCATCACTTGCCAGAAGCCCCTCTAAGTCTAAAGCTATACTAGGAGATTGAATAAGACTATAAGAGTCTCATGTGAATGCATGAGATTCCTTAAAAACGTCAATGTTAAGCCTATGCTTCGTTATTTGTTTTAGATAAGTATAATTTCACTCTTGTCTAAGGTAGTTTCTTAAAACAATAAATACCATGAATTAGCTCATATTATCGGGTAAATTCTCGGAAGTGATTGTCACGGATCATTAGGCCACAAATCTACCAATAGTTCATACAAATTTAACTCATATTTACATCTTTTAGCCGTAACTCATACACTACTGCTCTCGAATAATGTTACAATGCAATAAACCTTCCGGTTTACTTTCTTATCTATTCTTCTTCTTCCTCCATCATGTGGAACCTTCCGGTTTCGTAGACATGGTACATCCACACAGGTTGAAGCAATTCTCTTGCAGCCTCCAGCTTCTTCACTTCATCTTCATCTCTTTCTTCACCAATCTCTTGCTCTATTATCGGGTATATTCTTGGAAGTGAGACCAACATTGTGTCCAGCTCTTTCCACTCTCTATCTTCACTACCTACCAACTTCACACATACAAAGTGTAGCAACCCGAGAGCCGTACTGTAATCCCTCTTCTCTATACACACTGCCAAACACATCAAAAGAACATAACCAATTCCATCTATCACCTTGGTGTTACCTTTCACCAATGTAAATATGGTGTTTCTCAGTCTTTTTAATGCAGGGAAATCCGAGGTCTCAGTCTCATCTTCTTTGTTAATTTCATGTAGTTCGATCTTCGCACATGTAAGAAGCCATGATGGAACACAGAGTTTGATGTGGTTGAATGAGCTGGTGTATGAACTTTCTTCGTCGAAGTTGTCGTTGTTAATGAAACAGGGTCCTAGTGCAAGAACCAAATCTGGTATCCAGGGGTTTAAAGCGGTCACAAGTCTTGATGCATAAGCTGAGCCTAGAGATATCTCAACCATGGTGAAGAGATCAAGCAGGTCATTTGCAAGGTCAAAAGCTTCAAACAAAGGATGAGAAGCTTCGGTTGCATGTCTCAGCACTAAGTTTATGAATTTTCCAGCATAACTGGTGGAGCTTTTTGTACACAAAATCATGTCCTTCATATCTGCATCCTCAAATTGTAACTTACCGGTTGAATGGTCATTGAAAATCGAGATGGCATACTTTAGATATGCAGATGTGAACTTCAACATCCTTGCTTGGAAGTGGGAAGCTAGACCCATCTCTGTAGACTCAACAAAAAACTTGAGAATCACAGTTAGCATTTTGACATTGTTCAGCACACCTCCTTCCTTCGATCCCTCAGAAGCTGCATGAAGCATGAAAACGATGTCAGAAAACTTGAATATCAGGAAGTTACATACCACAAGCAGAGCTACGTATGAAGATTTCATTATGTTGGGTGACATGTGTAATGAGCTCAGCCTCTCCACTCACCATCATCACCAGCACTGGAATGTCTTCTTTTCGGTTGGCTGCCGTTACTTGTAGTGGGTTTTTTGCTAAGGTTAGCCTCAGGAGATGTGATGCCTGGCGTTCCACTGTCTCCTGTCTGAAATAGTTCATCTGTACAACCTAGGATGTGATCCATTGTTTGGTCCATGATATCCTGCTAGAAAATTGAGAAACCTGATAATTAGTAATCTGACTGTGTGAAGAAAGGAGTCAAAAGGGAAAACAAAAAGTTCTTGCCTCAGCGATTCTCATTTCATTCTTCTGAGTATCCGTATTAAGATTCTGAAGGGCCATGTGCAAAGCAAGAGAAGTATATGCCAATACTGGGTACACGTCCATATATTCACAACAAGTGGCTTGCAGAATGCTAGTCTGGGAGACGACTTTTAAGGCAAGGAGTAGCTCTTCAATGTCAGACTCCAGTATAGCTTTACGTGCAGCTTCGATAGTGAGTAAATCCTTTATCTGCCATGCTATTCCTACAGAAACCGAATAATCTTCCTCGAAACTGATTGCATTTTTTCCGCTAACATGTTTCCACCTTGCCGAAGATTTTCCTGAGGACTTTGATTTTTTCCTCTTCATGGAATGCACATTCTTTCTTTCTACTTCGTAGCCAAAATTGATTTGACAACGATACGCAGTCTTCTGCATGATACTGGTAAAAGTTCCAATGAGGTCACAAAAGGCATTAGAAGACAGGAGTAACTTGTGTACAGATCTCAACTCGGTCTGTCGTCCTGAATCCCCAGGTAAACCACCACAATTGACAGCTAAATTCATGCAATCTTCTAGGACTTCAGAGACAATATCAGGGGAGACCATAGCAATTATATCAAAGACAGCAGACACAGCCTGTGCAGTGGGTGCAAAAGCAAGCAAGCTTTTCAATTTTTCTCCAGGTAACAACTCTTTCAGGGAGGCCATACACCCAGAATCAGCAACCAAATCTTTACAGAGATAGTACGCAGCACGAAGCAAGCCTTCAGTCTGATTCTCGTCTAGCTTATCACCTGACAAGACTGAATTCAAGAAGAACCCAACGAGGTGCAGTACAGATGGAACGGTTGCTCCTAAAGATACTAAAAATTCGCAAAACCTTGCACCAGCCATTGGGTTTCTGTTTATGAGTGTCCTACATCGCTGGCACGCCTCCTCAGCTCTCTTTCTTGATGGAAAGTATGATGGTATTAGCAGTCGAGCGATTCCCTTAGCAACATGAGTCTGATCAGAGGCAAGCACAGATAATAACACATCCAAGCTCACTACCTGCGTATAACAACGAAACTATTAAACCAGTAACTCAACAAAAGTGAATACACAATATCACGCATCAGAACCGGAAATGGAAGGCCTACTCCTCCTACCGTGTTAAACTGGAAAGCGCGAACATCTCGTAAAAGAAGCAGTAGATCTACCATCGCAACACGTATTGAAGTAACACTATCTAGCATCAAATGCCCCAGTCTTGGCAGAATCACTTTAAGAATTCCATGGGATTGTGGGTTCGCGAGGAGATAAGTTATACCATTAACCGTTGAAAGTCTAACCTCACTGCACGATTCATGTGACATATCATCGAAAATTTTCGTGAGGACCTTGGTAATTGTTGCTGATGGGATCACTTCCCAGAAGAGATAGAAAACTCGACAGAGACCTTCCACAGCAACAGACCTCACATCTGGGCATTCATCACTCATCAATTTCTCCAACAAGTAGAATTGTTTGTCAAGCAGGGTATCTTTTGCTTCTTTTGTTGCATCGGGATCTTCCATGGGGAAAAGATCCAGAAGCAAATGTAAAGCATTTAAACGAACATTAGAATTTGCAACCTGAAAGAAAATAAGAGCAGGGAAATCACTTCCTACCAAATGTCCAAACAATGTCGACTAAAATAGCCAAGAAAACAGTTTTAGATAGAAAACTAAAGATGGCTAGGTGAGTTCTAGGTTGTGTACGCTATCGTTCATATTAGTACACAGCTTATCAGCCTTATGATGCTTCTTAATTTGAGATAAAGCCAAAGAAGTTAAGAAACAAACCTGTAATGAGCTAAATCAGTTCCTACTAAATGTTCATACAGTGTTCACTAACATACCCATGAATTAAGTTCATGGAAAACTAAAGATGGCTAAGTAAGTTCTAAGTAATGCCTCAGCTTATCATCCCTATGTTTCATCTTTGAGACGAAGGCAAAGAAGTTAAGAAACAAACCTGCAATGAGCGAAATATCATGGGCTCAGAAAGGCTAAAGAGAAGCTTCTCAACACCTTGAGTTGTCCGCTGACTAATAAACCCGCCCAAAACCCTCCTTAGAGAGGCAGCAAAGGCGCACGAACTAGCGTGAATTGCACTATCAATAATCCCCTGCAAAAACCCATCTTCAATCTCACCTTTCAAATCTTGCTCCACTTCTTTCCAAGCTCTAAACAAAATCCCACCAAACCCTTCAAGCACAGATTTCCTCCCCAAAGGAATCTGAGCCTTAACAACAGCAAGGCCAGCCTTCATCAACTGTCGACTAAGCCCGAAAGCAAAAGAAACAAATCTCTGACCATCTTCCGTCTTCACATACAACGGCGAAACCACACATCGCATCAACAACATCCTCAGATCTTCAATACTCTCATCCTCAAAATCAAACAATGTAAAAGCTTCTCTCAACATATAAACTCTATGAACATCAACTTTCTTCTTCAAGGTCAATGACCTCGAAAGCAAAAACGGTAACGACTGAGAAATCAAAGACTCTCTTTCCACTAAACCTTCCTTCCACCAACACTCACAAATCCCAGCAATCTCAAGACACAAAACCGAATCCGACTCAAAAAGTCTAAGATGATTATGCAAAACTTGAGCAGCGGGAAGTAAATCAGAAGTAGAAAACGCTTTCTTCGGACTTAAAAGACATAAATGAACAACATGAGAGAGAATCTGAAGAGAAGCAAGGATCTGATGCTTACGTTGATCCAAATCCGAATCGGGTAAAGTTCCGTTACCACGGTGGCGTTTCGTTGGAGGCGAATTGGAAGGAGAAGGGACATAGGGATTGTTATCATCTTCTTCGACGAGTTTTTGGAAGGATTCTGTGTGTTGGAGGATGGAATTGAGAAGAGCGAGTGGGAGAGAAGATGAGAGGTCCGACGAGGGTTTGACGGCATAGATGATGGTTTTTAGTGAGGGTTTGGAGGATTTTAGGGTTAATTTCACGGCGGAGGAGAGGAATTCTTCGGCGGATGTCTTGAGAGATGACCGGAGTCTTTTCTCCATTTTTTTTTTTTTTTTGAAATCTCACTATGTCAGTGTCAATTTTGAGGATTTGATTTCAATTTAGTTTGGAACGGTAAAGAGGGAGAATGAAATTGTTTGAAATTTGGTAAACCTAAACAGGCTGTTACTATTGCTGCTACTTGTGACAGATAAGACGTCGTCGTATTTTCGCAGTTAATAAACCTCAGTAGATTTTGGTTATACACATGATTTGGTGAAATTACTCTTGGGAAATCAACTGAACCAAACGTATCAAACTGAAACTGAACAAAAAAACAGAACTAAAATCGAACAAAAAATATAAAATATCCGAATGAATCCTAAAGTTTATAACACAAAGCACCGGAACCGAAATAGATTTTTGGATCAAAATACAAATATTAGCTTTTTTAGACCGTATAACCAAATCCAAAATATCAAAATTACCGGAAAAAATCTTTAAAAATATTTGAAACAATATATCCGAAGTACTTAAACAATACTCGAATGAATCGTAAATTCTAGAACTGAAAAAATTAGAATCGAACTAAATTTTGTTTGGTACTTATATAGATTATAAATTCTAGAACCGAACCGGATCAACCAGAATATCCGATGTCTATGTGAAACAATTTTACTTTCTTTTTCTTTTGTTATAGTGGTTTTGGATTACACTGGCCCTGTTCGGGAGTTGGTCGCTGCGACTGCAACTTGCGATCTGAAATTTGCCTTTACATCCCTGAATCTCTTCTTCATCTCTTTATCATCTTTCCTAATTTATGTCGCTGCACTAAAATTTTTGCGAATCCAGAGTCGCCGGATAAAACAGCGACACAACCCAACTCTTCATTTTAAAGTAGCGACTGTCGCTGAAATTCTAAAATCAAATTTGCTACTATCTTCGATTCACAGATCTGAAAATTTTATTTTTGTCTCCAACTTAAAGAGTAATCTTTAATTGGAAATTTATTTAATTTATTGTTAAACTTATATCCTTGAAGAAACATTTAATTACAATATATAAAAAAAAAATAACAAAACTCAGCCTTTTTAAAAACTGTCGCTGGTGAGTGAGAGTGGCACGACTAACCAAAGAACAGGCTCACTAACGAAAGACTATTTTACTAGACGCAACAAAAAAATAAGAAGGTTATTTTACTAACAAAGCTGATTTTGAAACCAAGGTGAAGAAACCTAATAACAACAAATCCGCCCGTATTTAAATGACTAACACAAATAAACCAAAAGCCTTGTAAGTGCCAAAGTTTGAAGAATTATTAATCCCTAGTTAAATATTTATGTTGCAACAAGCTTTGTTTCGGACATATAGGGCAACGATCTTGTAAACAGTTGTATAATCAATGAATTTCACTTTGTGGATCCTACGATTTCTCTCCTTCTAGTATATAGAGGTTTGTTAGACTTATAAGAAAAAAGAGTCATTTTCACACTATGATCTGTCAGACAGTTAGGAGCCAATTAAAGGATAATACATTAGTTTGTGTTTTGATGATTCAGTTTCAGTAAGATCTTTGTACAAATCTGATCCAAGAACTCACAAGCAAAGAAGAAAATGATCTCGAAATTCCAGACGTCGATTGCATAAGATTGGAAGAGGGTCCACTTATGCCACGCTTGCTTGTGCCAAGAAAACTTAGAAAACAATTGGGTTTGATGTCCTTTGTTTAATTTATCTCATTTCCAACTTACAAAGGTAATGAAAATATACGATATGATGTCACATAGTCATCTATGAGGTATGGAAGGAAAGGAACATGATTTCACAATCAGTCCTCCACTCTTTTTCAACTCATTCTCCGTTATGTAGACCGGCAATTCTGTAACAGAGCTTCTTCATTTCGGCCAGCTAATCTCGGGCTCTCTAATCTTCTTAAACTATGGTTCCAACTTCCAATGTCCATTCCTTGCTTTAGAGCATGCATTCGATTAATCTTGTTTTTGTTGATGATTGCTTTATGTTGTATCACAAATGCTTTTACTCTTTCAATTTCTCTCAACAAAAGTACGCCCATCATCAAAAAGAAAAAGAAAAAATCACATACTGACCATCTAGTCACTATACAATAGAAATCCCACTTTTCTAGACCCACCTTACAAAAACACTCGGCATAAAAAGATTCCTTTTAATATAAAGAGGAAAACAAAAGCATTGTTGTTTCTATAATTTATTCCAAGGTACAAAATGTACTTTACTAAAATTCTGGTTCCATAGTTGACTTCTTCACCAAACAAAATGCACATAACTTCAAACACAACCTAGTATTTGGTGAATACTAAACCGAAGAAAAGAAGTAGAAGACTAGTGACTTCTCCTAGGAACAGCAAGAGCCTTAAGCGGATGTTTCATGACGGTGGTGAACTCGAGCTTCTCAGTCAAGTCAACTTCATGACCTTCGACCTCCTTCCACTCAAACTCCCTCACCATATTCGCCACATAGTACTCCAGATGCAACATCGCTAGCCCAATCCCCGGACATATCCTCCTTCCCGCTCCAAACGGCATCATCTTTATCCCTCTACTCCCGGTTATGTCCACCGGTTCTTCTTCTCCCATAAACCTCTCTGGCTTAAACGCCATTGGTTCCTCCCACACCTTTGGATCCCTCCCTATCTCTGCCACCATGAAGTTAATCGTCCCCTTCTTCGGTACTTTGTATCCTCCTAACTCAGTGTCCTCCGTGACACTGTGCGGGAGCACAAAGTGTCCCGGAGGATGCCTCCGAAGACCCTCCATCACCACTGCCTTTAGATACGGCATCTTCTGCGCGTCTTCTTCCTCCACTTCCTTTGCTTCTTCCCCAACTACGCTTTTGATCTCCTCGTATAACCTCCTCTGGATATCCGGGTTTTTCACAAGGTTCGCCATGATCCATTGCAACGCGGTGGCCGTTGTATCAGTCCCGCCGTTGAGAAACTCAGAGCATAAACTCACAATCTCATCTTCATTCAACTTCCTCTTCTCATCTGGAAGCTCCAGATCGAGCAAAGTATCAACATATGATTGTACATACTCTTTGTTGTCTTCTGCCTCCTTCGATGATCTATTCTTCCTCTCTTCGACAATCTTTCTCCGAGCACGAATCAGCGGAAGCAAAACATCATGCTGCTCGCTCCGCATCTGGAAAAACTCTTCCCATCTCTTTCGCAAAATCAATTTAGTGAACTTAGGCCAATAATTGAGGATGCTAAATCTCGTAAAGCCAAGACGCTGTCGTGTCTGAACATATTTCACCTCTTTGATTTGCTTCTCATCAAGCTTATCTCCAAAACACATGAGAACAAGAAGCGCAAACATCGCATAGTACAGATGTTCAAGAACAAGGATCGGTTCTTCACTTCCATTCTTACGAAATCGGTCAAAGAGGATCTCAAGAACCCAACGCCGCGCGTGAGAATATCTCACGCGCGAGGGGTGAAGAATCTCAGAAGTGAGATTCCGGCGAAGAAGCCGCCAAGTAGCTCCATAAAAACAAGAGCTGATGGTATGTTGGTTACTCGAAACAATCTTGCTCATCGGAGCCGTTGGTGGACGATCGGCAAAAATGGCGCCGTTCAAGATGAGAGCCTGATGAGCAAGGGAACCATCGGCGACAAAGATGGCGGGGCGGGAAGTAATGCGGAGGGTGATGATAGGACCGAGACGGTGATGGACGGAACCGAGATAGTTGTTGAGTCCACCTAAGCCATGCCGGAGCCATTGGAGGGTTCCAAGGAGAAGGAAGAAGTAAGGCTCAGGTGGTAACGGAAGAGAGGAGGATTCACGGTGGCGAAAGAGGAGGAGATTGAGAAGGAGAGAGAGGAAGAGAGAGCCCAAGAGAAGTAACCATATCTCCATTTTCTTTTTGTTCTCTTTGCTGGTTTTTCTTTGCTTCTTGCTCCTTTTTATACTAGTACGTGTGTGGCTAAATTCGTGTAACAATTTATTATCAGAGCTAGCGTGTTATTCAAGCATAATTTAATTTTAAGTTTTTTTTTGTCAATTTTAATTTTATGATTAGGCAATATTATGGCCTGACTGGTCTGGTAATTCAGATCAACACTTTGAATGTTCGGATTCGAGAGGGTCCTTCCGCTTACAAGAGAGAGTGAGAAACGAACAAATTAAAATTGATTCGAATCAAATAAAAACCGACTGAATATAAACTCAAACCTAGTAAATATAAAAGAGAAATGGTCTCCAATAGCCCTAAATGAAGTTTTTGTGACAAAAATAGAATCTCTTAGTTTATTTGACAAAAAGAGCACTCTTTTTAAAAATTTAATAAATTTAATAAACAAAAAGGAAAAGAAAGCATTCCACGATCCACGATAAGGCGACGGAGACGATTTCACGTGATAGCTGCCGGCGACGGAGAGATCTGCCGGCGACGGAGAGATCTGCCGGCGACGGAGAGATTTGCCGGCGACGGAGAATTCTTCACCTATTTTCGATCTTCAAACTGGTATAAATCGATCTCTTTCACCAATTTTTTCTTCTTCTTCTTCCCCAATCGTGTTGACGAAATTAGGCGTTTATTGTTGAATTATGGCTTTCTATTGTGGAATTAGGCAAAATGTAGGTGCGTTCATTGATTCAGCACAAAGAATTCTGATGTGTCATTGTTCATCTCTTACCTTTTTCATTGTTGGGCTTGATTGCATTAGAAATCTTAAGTAGATGAAACTTGCAATTGGAACCTATTGATAAGTAGATGCTTTACGAATTCTGATGGATCTTCTAGTTTGTTCATTGTATTTGGTTGTTGCATTCTTTTGGTATGGTGTAGGTATGGTGGAGATATACTCTGTTGGTGGGAAGTGGAAACAAAATGAAAAGCTTCAGTGGGTTTTCTTAGTAGACACAGCGAAAGGTGGATCCCTTTGTGAGGTAGATGAGTATATTTCATACAAGGGATTAGTTGAGAGTGTTATTGAAGATTTCGGACTTGAGAGTTTAGTCAAAGATATTTCGCTTAGCTATGAACTTCCCCAAAGGATGAAGTTGATGTTAGAAGATTCTCTACCAATACATATTCGAAATGATCGCCAAGTTTGCACTTTCATCAAGAAGAAACAAGGAGATCCTGAAATAATTCGTTTGTGTGTAACGGTTAGTGAAAACGTATACGACTCTTTCTTGTATTAACCGTGGTCAGACTTACACTACATACTAATTCTTTACATTTGATTTTCTGGCAGGAACTTCATCGATCAACTGGAAGTGACATCTCAGTTCCTAAATACTGCAATATACAGATTTAATCGGAACTAGTCGTCTTTCTTTTTAATTTGAACTGTTTGTTCATATGCTTATCTCTTTTTGTGTTTGTAGAAACCTCATCCTTTAGTTGGAACTTCTTCTATCTCTGCTGCACATGAAAACCAGAAGGTAAAAACTCAATTTCATAGGTTTTAGGAAGGATACATTTAGTTTTAGGATGACCTTCCTAAATACTGCAATATACATATATGATCCGTTTCTAGTCGTCTTTTTTTTTTTAAATTTGAACTCTTTTTCATATGCCTATCTATTTTTGTGTTTGTAGGAACCTCATCCTTCAGTTGGAACTTCTTTTATCTCTGCTGCACATGAAAACCAGAAGGTAAAAACTCAATTTCATAGATTTTAGGAAGGATACATTAAGTTTTAGGATGACCTTCCTAAATACTGCAATATATATATATATATATATATATATATATATATATATATATATATATATGATCCGTTTCTAGTCGTATTTTTTTCAATTTTAACTCTTTGTTCATATGCCTATCTATTTTTGTGTTTGTAGGAACCTCATCCATCAGTCGGAACTTCTTCCATCTCTGTGCCATATAGTGATACATGTTCAACGGCTGAAAAAGGAAGAGGCAATAAGTCATTGGATTTGCTTCATGCTCCAGATCGTAGTCCGATTCCTATAGGCGGTGTACATTCAACACGAGGTGCTGATGACATATATGTTAATAATTATTTCATCAACAAGGCTGAGTTAATGCAGAAGATGAGGACATGGGCGTTAGAGTATAAGTTTGAGTTTAGGTCTCGATGGTCTAACAAAGATAGAGTGGTTTTGGTATGTGTAGATGATAAATGTACTTGGAGGATGCGTGCAATGAGGGTAGTCTCTTCTGATTTCTTTGTGGTGAAGAAATATTGCCATGAGCACACATGTGACACTACACACAGAAATGCAAATCATAGGCAAGCTACTGCGAAGTTGCTAGGGACTTTTTACTGTAGCCACTATGGAGAAAAAAAGAAGGATTAAGACCAAAACAGTTGATGGAGCTAGTCAGGAGAGATCATGGAGTACACATACCGTATAAAAAAGCTTGGAGGACAAAAGAGGAAGCTCAGATTTTGGTTAGAGGTACTCCTGAGGATAGTTATTTCAATTTAGTAAAATGGTTGTTCATGGCAAAGGAAAAAAATCCTGGAAAAGTTGCTTACCTTGAGATGGATCCTAAGGGGAAATTCAAATTTGTCTTCATTGCATTTGGCCCATCGATTAGAGGTTTTGCTTTGATGAGAAGAGTCGTTGTTGTAGATGGTACATTCTTGAAAGGAAAGTTTAAGGGAACTTTGCTAGCAGCTACTACACATGATGAAGATTATCACTTATACCCGATAGCATTTGCGATTGTTGATTCAGAAAATGAAGCGTCTTGGAGTTTGTTCTTTAGATGTTTGCTTAGTATCATCCCTGATGCAGCTGATTTGGTATTTGTTTCTGATCGTGCTCCAACCATTACAAAAGCACTTTCAGAGTTGTATCCGCTTTCCCATCATGGAATCTGCACGTATCATCTCGGGAACAATATCAAACAAAGTTTGGTAGTCAAAGCTTTTTGCCACTTGTTCAAGCTGCAGCAAAGGCCTATACTTATCAAGCATTTGTAGAGGTTTTCAACGATATACAAATTTCTAATTCAGATTTGGCTGCATATTTAGAAGAGGCTGATTTGAGGAAGTGGGCTCGATGTTTTGCTCCGTCACACCGCTACAATATAATGACAACAAATATTGCAGAATCGTTGAATTCTGTTTTAAAAGAACCTCGGGAGCTTCCAGTGCTTTCTCTTCTTGAGACTATCAGGTTAACCTTAACCACCTGGTTTCATGAACGTCGGGAAAAAGCTGCAAAACACAACAAGCGCCTTACACCTATTGTTACAAAGGAGATGGTCTTAAGGTTCAACGAGGCAATGAAACTTGACGTTTTCCAGGTTGATCAATTTGAGTTTGAAGTCAAAGACAAACACAATAAGTTTGTTGTCCATTAAAGGGATAAAAATTGCACTTGCTGCGTTGACATCGACAAAATCCCTTGCATTCATGCAATTGCTGCTTCGAAGCGTACAAACATGGATGAAAACAAACTAGCAGATGATTTCAACTTGACAGATACATGGGCTAAAGCATATGCTGAGAGCATACATCCGAGTGGAGATGCAAAGAATTGGGTTTTTCCTGATTCTATAATGGTTTTTCTGTGCACCTCCAGAAACTAAGGTAAGCAGTGGTAGACCGCCGAAGAAGAGATTTCGATCTGCTAGAGAGTTTGGTGTACTAGGTTCAAAATCTCAGAGACACAAGTGTGGTAGATGTGGTAAAGAAGGTCATAATAAGACTACGTGCAGATCCAAAATATGATAAATTTATCAACTGAATTGTCTTTATCCCTTCTGTGTTTGTCCAGAAAAACATTAAAGACGTAATCTTCAAATTTATTTTAGGACTTCTTTTCAGTATTTTAGGAAGGCCTTCCCGAAACTACGATTTTCAGGCATTCGATTTTTGTTTGATCCTCTAATAATTCGAATGATATCTTCATATGTAGTAGTGATGTTATTTGTTTGAAATAAAAGCTATGACCTACTGTTTACACAATTTCTGAGGGCCAATGATCTATAAAATCTCTTTTTATGTCATGATGTGTTTCGTGTTTCATAGAAATATACACGTTCGTTTGTACCAGACTTTACAATTAGAAGTTGGCTCACTGGTTACATGTTCTATTACAAATACAATAGGTCCCGGTTTCGAATCCTAGTGGATGTAACTATTACATTTTTTTTTTTAGGGAAGGCCTTCCTGAATATTTGGGAATCCTTCCTGAATTTCAAAAATTGTTTACTTTTGCATAGTTTGCCTCATATTAATCACAATTTACATATATTTTGAGGATCGATGATCTATAAAATCTCTTTTTATGTCATGATATGTTCCGTGTTTCATAGAAATATATACGTTCGTTTGTACAATATTTACAATTAGAAGCTTGGCTCACTGGTGACATGTTCAATTACAAATAAAATACGCCCTGGTTTCGAATCCAGCTGGAAGTAACTATTACAATTTTGTTTTAAGGAAGGCCTTCCTGAATTTGTATATATCCTTCTTGAATATTTGGGAACCCTTCCTAAATTTCAAAAAATAGTTAATATGCAAAGGATATGCTGAGAGCATACAACTGCGTCGATAACCTGTAGGAAACAAATGGTATCTAACAAAGTACCATACATTGAATATCTCAAAAAAACATAAATAAAAACATATGACACTTTTCTAGTTTAGAACCATCATAGAAGTACCAAAACAGTCTAAAACGGTTTCACAATCTTAACACACTCATTGAAGATATCCACAGCCAACTTGTTTCTGATGTCTTCTGAATCTATATCACGCAGCATGGAGAAATCTTCAATCTTCATCGAGTGGCATTAAATCATCTTCAGTAGAAAAAGAGTACAGTTTGCATCGACCTTTGTGTGAATAATGTTCTTCTTCGGAATGGTTACCTGATATGAAGTGGAACTGTTTAAGATGGCAGGAATCAACTCTGCAAAACATTCAAAATATCAGTCAAACTCATAGATTTTACTGTAATTGAAAGAATTATAGGAATTGTACCTGTTAGTGGAGTCACGTGGGTTGATACAATGTTTTTGCTTTTGTCAGTTTGACAATCCAAGATTGTAACTCTCTTATCTAGGAAGTTGATCTCCACCCCAATCCATTGGTTACACTCTTTGCTGTGTATATCACCATAGACCACATCAATTTCTTCTCCCCATTTTTTGTTTGGTGGCATTTCTCCTTTGACAACATCAATTAACTCCACAAGAAACTCATATCCCTTTTTATCCTTTTTGAAAGCAAAATAGCTGTCTGCCAAATTCCTCGTAAATTCCGGCAAAGTCTTCAAATCTCCGGTGAAGAAATCAGATCCGGTGAGTGACGGAGTCGTCGAAAGCGATAGGTTTTTGGAAGTCGTCGGGTTTGTTGGAAGCGAAGCCGTCGGGTTTGGAAGAAATGAAATTCTATTTTAATTAATTTTTAGAGGATTAAAAACTTTGTGTGCTATTTTTGGAAGTTTCAAAAGATAGTGCCATTTTTGGAATAATAAACCTTTTTAGTGCCATTTGTGTAAATTGCCCAATATAAAATCGATTTCTTCCAACTTTTTGTCACGTGCCATTGTATTTGTGCATTACATTACATTAATGTGTAAAATCAAACAATCTATATATAATAGCAATTTCAATAAATACTATTTGCACCTCTGAACGATTGCGTCTTTTTATCGCAACCTTTCGTTTAAATATTTACGGTTATTATTTTTGGTTATGTCTTTTTATCGCGTTTTGTCGTTGAAATATTTACGGTTATTTTTTTATGGTTGTGTCTTTTTATCGCATCTCTTCGTGAACATAATTACGGTTTTTTTGCAATTATATTTTTTTAATTGTAGTCCTATCATTTCAGTTTACGGTTGTGTCTTCATAGTTGCATCTATTCATTTAAAGTTACGTCTCATATTATATAGATTTAAATTTTGGTTTTTTAACTAAAATAATTATTTTACGGTTGTTTTAGTTTATTTAATGTACAATTGTAAAATAAATCATTAAAGCATTTAAATTTTTTAGAACTAAAGATATATATTTTACGGGTTTTTTTTAAGAAAGTTGCGATCCGATTGTGGTTTTTTAAATATCTTCTACGGTTTCGTTTTTCTTATTGTAACTTTTCGTAAACGATTGCAACCGTTTAGTTGAACCATTGCAATATTTAGTTTATTTCACGAACAAATGAAACTCTTGGTTTATTTTATAAACCTTTATAACATTTAATTATCTACAGTCACGTCTTTCGGTGTAATTTTTTATAAACTATTTTTTCAGTTTTAGTTACTAAAATGTAACTAAATCAAATTGTAACCATTTAACTGAACCGTTGCAACATTTGGTTTATTTGACAAATGATTGCAACTTTTGGTTTTGTTTTATGTTGTAATCTTTAGTTTATTTGACGAACCGTTACAATATTTTGTATATTTGACAAATGATTCCTATTTTTACTATATATATGATATCTATGGTCGCGTCTTTCAGTTATAGTTATTCATCAAATTTTTAAATGAAAATGTTGCTACTGTTTAATAGAATATAGTAACATGTGGTTTATTTGACGAACCAATGAACATTTTGGCTTATCTGTTCAACCGTTGTAACCTTTGGTTTATTTGATGAACCGTTACAATATTTGATATATTTGATGAACCATTGCAACTTTAGTTTATTTGATGAATTATTACAACTTTAGGTATATTTGATGAATCATTGCAACATTGCTTTTTGTGATATATTTTTTAGAGCATTTACTAAAGCGCATTTTTTTTTGAACAAAGCATTAACCAAAGTTATATTTTTTTCATTTAGAGTATTATCTTGTCACCATGTTTTATTCGTGTTTTTTATCACAAACACTTGGTTCAAATAATTGTGTCTTTTACAAACAATTTTTTCTATTAAACTTTTATGTCTTTGTAACTCTATATATACACATAGTATATATATATATATATATATATTTTAAAAAGTGGTGTAAATTTATTATTTCTTTTTGTTTGATATTTTTCATAGAAAGTTACATTTTTGCTATTTAGCATTCATGTATATATATATATATTTTATTATCTATATCATTATTATTTTTTCCTAAATAATTATCTATTTTGGTTATTTGATAAATGTTTCTGAAGGGTGTCTCTTTTTAACATAATACGATTAAAAATAGGGAGAGTTACTGAAAAGGTTTAGTGAAGAGGAAAAATAACTAAAATGACATGGTTTTGGAGCAATAGTAATATCATTTTTTAAAGGCAATCTTGCCTTCAAGTATGTGTCAGGCGAGAAAAAAATAACAGAAATGCCATTATAATTAATTACGATATGCCATGAAAAAGGCGGGAGTTGGCAAAAAGCAAGCGGCGGGAAAAAGGGAGGATATTTTGGATGTGGCGACAGATTTATGGAGGTGACAGATTTGCATGGTAGTTTTAATAAACTATGACAGAGTTGTCAGATATGTTAGATAAATCTATGTTTCAGACACAGTAGATTGAAGTAAAATTGATAGATTTTTGTAGTTTTGGTTGAGTTATTTGGTAGAGTTGTTTACAGTGGTGACATAGTAATATGTAAAATAGATTTTTTTGGCAGACTAACATTAAGTTATGACAGAGTAATTGAGGTAATAGATTAGTTTGGTAAAGTTAACAAAGGTTATGATAGAGTTGTTAAGAAAAACAGAGTAATGTGTTAGAGTTTGAAAATAGAAACAAAGTCTGTGACTAGTGAAAGTAGAGTAATTGATTATGATAGATTTATTATATAATCGGACAGACTTATCCAACAAATTAATTACTAGCGTGTCACAGTGTGTCAGAATAGTGGTGGAAGACTTTATGTATGTGACGATAGAGTTGTGGGTTTATGACTGATTGGTGACAGAGTTAGCGAGACAATGTGGGGGGGGGGGGGGGGGGGGGGGGGGGTAGACTTAAAACCGTTTAAAACCACAATCCTTAAAAAAAGTTTTTTGAGATAGACGTGATAGATTCATTTTGATAGAGTTATGTATGATGTTATATCTGTCACAGCGTAAAAATTGGCAATTCCAAAAATACCCTCCCACTTTAACCGTAATTACAATTTTAATGTACACGCATCTTCTTCGTTGTTTGTAGGTTAAACACTTTGTCGGTGGTTCCGAATCTGAGCACATCGACAAAAGGCGATGGAAGACATTCAACTAGTTTGCGGTTGCTGGAAATGTGAGAAATCAAGATGGGATTTCGGCGTTGATGAAGAAAGAGGAAGTAGAATGTTACCTTCTAGTGTTGGTAGTAGTTTGAAGCTTTTATTGTCATGGTGTATGAAGATTTTGGTTTCGATTCAAAGACTGAGTCAATAAAGCTCAGTTATATGTTACCTATGAAGTCCAAAAGTTATGCAGATACGCCACCTGTGTGTGTAACGAATGGCCGTCAATTCGAGGCATATCTCCGGCAGTGTTCAAAAGAATCAGTGAGGCTATGTGTCAAAATAATTGGTGGTGGTAACTGTCGAGAAAAGAAAGACAGGAAAAGAAAGGGCAAATGTGAGGAGAGTAGAGAAGTGAATGTGGAAACAGTTCTTGAAGACGAGGATTACTACAACCGGAAGAGGGATGGAAAAAAACCTGTAGGAGATTTGTTCAATCGAAAGTTTGCTTCAACACAACATTCTGTGGATGAAGCAGACGAGGTTGAATCAATCATTTCTGAAGCAATTCGCGAAGATTTGGAGGATGATGATGAATTTCCCAGATTTGATTATTGTGATGATGAAGACGGAGCGAGCTCAGGAGATGAATACTATGGATTAAATTCACGAGACGAGGAAGAGGAGGAAGATGTAGCTGATAGAGATGAAGTGAAGAGTAAGGCAAAAATTGAGGAATCTCAGAGGAATTGCAAAAGAAATAAAAAATTCTCTTTATCATCAGGTAACTCTTCGAATGCGAAGTCTTATCTGAAATTGGAAATGTGTGGTGTGGATCTAGCTACTGGCCAACGGTATGAGTCCAAGGATGCACTAGAGGAAAGATTGAAGATTCTTAGTGTAATCCAAAAGTTCGACTTCGATGTTGATAGATCGAAGCCAGACTTGTATACTGTTAATTGTTGGGTACCCGGCTGCAGGTGGAGAGTACGAGGTTCACCCATAGGAGATTCATCTGTTTTTAATATTCGCATATACAATCGTACCCATACATGTTCAGTCATAGAACGGTCGGCAAGTGGTCGGCAAGCTACTCCTGCAATACTAGGACAGCTTTACAAGGAATTTGTTGGTGGTGTTGGTGAATCCGTATTGCCATGTCATGTGGCAGAGTCTCTAAATAAAGTCTTAACTGGTGCCAGAAAGTACCCAATCGTGATGCTACTTGATGAAGTGAGGTTGATGCTGACACGTTGGTATGCTAAAAGGCGGAAAGAAGCGATGTTGATGACAACAACCCTAACAAAAGGTTTAGAAAAACATCTACATGTAAGTCATTTGTGATTTGGATCTATATACTGGTAGTACGTTGAACTCACTACTAACAATATACTCTTCTCTTTATAGGACCGTATTATTAAGGCAAAGTATCTGGCTGTACAAGAGATCGATAGGCATCAATATGAAGTGACCAATGGAGTGTCGACAAACGTGGTGAATTTGACTGCGAAAAAGTGTTCATGTATGATGTTTGATTTAGACAAAATAGCATGCGTTCATGCTATTGCTGCAGCAGAGCATGCTAAAGTTTCTAGGATTGCACTCAACGACAAAAACTACTTGATAGATTTTCTTCGAACGGTTATGCAATATCCATAATGCCAAAGGATGGTTCATCACCTATCCCACAGAGAATCGGTTCGACAGTATGTAAGCCTCCATTCGTTAGGATCCCACCTGGAAGGCCAAAGATTACAAGAATAAAAGGGCAAATGGAGATAGCTATTGATCGAAGCCGACCAAGGAAAGTTCACGTTTGCTCGAAATGTCATTTAGCTGGTCATAATCGAACGACATGTACTTCATAACATGTTTTTGTGTTTCAGTACTTCTTAACATGTTTTTGTTATAAATTACATTTGTCCTACTCTGCTATGTCTTACACTACTAATGACTTAAAATCTTTTTCGTGCTATACATTTCTTATATGTCATCTGACTAATATATCAACATAGACAATCATATAGAATCGAACAAGAACGTAGGAAGAAAGTAGACAACTAATATATAAACATAGACAATCATATAGAATCGAACAAGAACAAGCGTTCATCACATAACAGAGTTTGGAGACAACAAAAGCGAACAAGAACGTTGGAAGAAAGGTTACTTAATTTAACACATTTCATGGAAAGTGGTGGCGTAACTAAACGCAAAACAATGGTGACAAATGGCAGTAGTCGAGTTTGTGTGTGCGAAGTAGCAAATTGGATACTCTTTGAAATGAATATAACCAGAAAACACATTGCGACCGCCTGGTCCGATATGACGTATTTGGTCTTCTACTACACCGGCAACGGCGATTGCCTCTTCCAATGTTTGAATCCTACTAAAGAAAGTGCGGGTAACAACCATACCTTGCTCATAGGAACCACAATAGAGGAGCATAACCGCAAATGCAAATGTAACATAGATGGAAGAGTATCCAACTTCTCCAAGCATCTCTAATGCTTCCACAGATGGTCCGTCTTGCATCAAACGGCGAAGTGCTTTTACATATCTTGCAACCTCATGCCCTTCTGCTGCGCATATCAAAAAAAACGGTCGGTAGACGGACTCTTCCCTACCGAGCCTTGAGTTGAACAAGAACTCATCCAGATCGACGTCTAGCAAAACATCACGGCAGTAGACGATTTCTTGAAAGAATGGGCTGGCTGCGATCAGAGGACCAAGATTCCGGAATCCATCACTCCCAACTCGATGGACTATGTCTGTCATTACTGCTGTTGGAATATAGGTCATAGTTGAATAGGTTCTTGCAGCTGGAAAGTGGAGGAGACGATGATAAAAACAGAGATAAGAGTATAAAACCCTAGATATGCGACATTTTCCTTCAATCCCAACATGTTTTGTTTTACCAGGCCCATCCAACAAATAGTCAATACAATGGGCCATGGGTTTGCATTACTATTAGGTTGGCCCACCAACCAATATTTAGAGAACTTGGTGTACTTATGTGTGGATGTATTTAAGTACTGCATTATATCCCCCTATTACCAGAGTCCCAGAAAAAACATAAGGTCAGCCGGAGTATTTAATTTCGACACACACCATGGATCCCATCACTTACACGCCGACTTCACCGCCACCGCCTTCGCCGGAATATTACTCCTCCGATCTTGGATCCCCGGTTGGTATACCTTACCCGGGATCGCCTAACCCTCATTCACCTAGGCGTCTCAGTTCTTGGATTGATAATTCACAGCAGGAAAAACCAAAAGCTCTGTATCGACATGTTGAGTACGGTGCGGTTGTTCCATACTCCCCCTGGGATAATCTCACAGTTCCTGCGAGTGGACTGGATTTCGTGCCGGAGGGAAAAGGATTTGTACCCGGAACCTTTATTTTTCCGGAAACCTTCTTTTTATCTTGCTCAGGAACATGTCTCGCGAAATGTCAAACATGGGTATCTCTGGTCAGTTTTAGAATCCAAAAAACTGAGTTTTTAAATATTATTACTCAATTTGATTTTATAAATTCTTTACTTTACATTGTAGTTAGAGGCACAACATGCGGCCTATGCAAACCATCACTCTGAACTAGTGTTCAAGATGCAAGAGATGGAAGGAGCAATGAGGCGTTTGGAATCTCTCCCGAAAGATTGGCTGAACTTTGAGCTATACAAACTTGGGGAGATGTCACCTTCGCTTAGGGCTTACTGTGCCTCTCATGATGGTAGTAGCTGCAATTTTGAGTTGGATCTTCCAGGAATCGATCCAAACATCCGGAAAACTATGATGCTGAGGTTGAGGGTGGTACTGGTGATGTTTAAAATCTTGTTGGCTTAAGGATGCCGAAGCTTAATCTACTCATAAGCTAATGTTTTAGACACATGTGTTTGTTTAATGTGTTCTTCAACTGTCAACGCATTTCTTTATGACAATTTCCTCTGTTCGAAATCTATAAATCCTTTCTTATTTATTCCACAACAAATCAGTCGTAGTAAACTATAGATGGAATACAAGTCTACCATCTATAATATATAGCATTAAAATCTGTCATAAAGCAGTTATGGCTCACCTACTGATGTCTAGTCTATCTAACAACTTTGTCATCATAATTACTTAAGCTATAGTTAATAATTTACAAACCTACTGAACTTATGACAAATTCCAAAGGAGGTCTTATCTCACCAACTTAAGCAAATACTTATAGATTAGGTTATGGATGGAACTCTCTTTGCTGTTTCACCTCTTTATAACTACATTGGCTTGTTACACGAACTTCGAAGTTCTGATAACTTCACCTATCAAATATGGCGTACCTTCCCACTCCTATTGTTTGTGACATTTTCTGTCGGATGGGTGAAGACGGTTTCCGCTACCTTGGTCCGGTTATTGCTGCAGGACCAGGCTACACTTAGCAAGAGTACACGCCTGAGGTTTTGGAGAATGTTGATATAGATGAATTTTATCTTCAATGGAAGGCTTGCTAATGTTCATGCAAGTTACAAGACTTTTTTTATTAAAGTGCCTTGAAGTAGGTCATCCTGTTGCAAAATACGTAGAAGCGTTGAGGATTTTGACTCAAGTAGGTCCTTCGCAAGCTGCCTTAGATATGCTAAGTCAATGTGTTGGCGACTCCATATATGCACATTTTGCATATGGGATACTACTCATATGTTGTGGAGCTTTAAAAGAAGGTATGCTTCTAATTAAATATTTTTTTGCGGAAGTTTCTAACACTTGAGGCAGCTGTCATAATCGGTAACGAAGTCGTAGAACAAGCAAGATCCATCGGAATTCTAGGTTATCGTATTTTCTACAGAACATTCCATTTCGAGATTTGTCTTCTGTGTTGCCTTCAACACCATGACAATAGAGTCGTATGCAAACATTGTTTCGCCTACTATTATGCTAATATCTTTCGTTTAATGTGTTAATGTTTGCGTAATATTTTGTTGGTTATGTGTAAGACTATATTTTATCCTGTCTTTGTATTATATTAGATGGGTTTATGTCTGTTAGTAAAAGACACTCCATCAAGGAGATTAATGATTTATTTTTGAACCGTAGTCTTTGTAATAAAGCGTACGATATCGGAAATACCACGTGCCCTACTATAAAGTCAACGTTTAATGGACCCATTTTGTAGTCAACGTTGGAAGACTAGTAGAGACGTAAAATGTGGCTATTAAACCGAGACAAAACAAACAAATATCCCTAACTCGTTGAATAAGAACCCTAGACGCTTTCCGACGAACCCAGACGCGAAGTACGATTGCTCGAGTGCATTTGAAGGGATGAATAACACGAAAAACCTAAAATCGAACCTCGAAACCTCTGGATTTGTAAGTAATTATTTTATTTTCCTACCCAGCCCCCATCAGCGCTTTTCATGAATAACAAGGATTAATTTTGTTTTTTTTCATTACTTCTCATGATTCCTTGTTTCTTAGGAAGAGTTAAGTTGTAACTCAAGTAACAATCGATCAAATGAAATATTGTGTAACTCAAGTAAGTTTCTCTTTTCACATCTCAATCAAAACTGAATCCCAGTCGCCCTTATTTTTGATGTGCTGCTTCGAGAGCTGTAAGCTCCTAAATCGCTTTTTGTATTCCGTTGTTACTCTACTACCATTGATTTGCAACAACTTTGTGATCTTCTTCGTATTCCTATTTTTATAAATCAAAGGATGGTCATTTGTTTAAGTGGGTGGAAGAAGGAATGTATGAAGAGGTTCAAGACTTCTTGCAAAGAGAATCGGAGATTGAGTATATGAGGATCGTAGGTGATGAGGTAAAAGAGATGGTCGTTAATCTGAAAGAAGAGATGGGTTGGTGCAAAAATGAATTACACAAAGCCAAGATCAAGAACATGGTCACTGTTGTTTGTTTCCGCGCTTTGGTTGTGTTAGTAATTTACTACATTGTGATTCAGAAGGGAAGTAACCAAATTGTTTTTGGTTTCTAATTTTTTCCTCTAATCAATTGGTAGAATTTGTAATCGAACCATCTTCCCACTTTCTTACAATTTCAACTTATGCTTTCGGTGATTACATTGTATTGTAAGACTTATGTTTCTCAATTAGTTGTTCAACTTATGCTTTCGGTGATTAAATTGTAAGACTTATGTTTCTCAATTAGGTGTTACAGACAATTAAAAAAAAAAATTCATTGTAGTACATATAAGCATAACGAACCGATTATAATAGGGCAATCCAAATATAAACAAAACATATTGTTTTAGTCACAACCAAAAGCAGTTAACCAAACATATCGAAACAAGTTTGATTCTTAGTAGTAGAGAGAGAAGAGAGAAACAACAAACAAAACATAACGTTTCAATATATAGCCCATCATCCGACTGAGCAGTCCATCCCTTAGTTAGACGCAACCTCCTCCATGTAAACATCATCAGCTTCTAGATTTGAGAAGCTTCGACTGTTTTCAACACATAAAACATAACATGGATTACTCTCTACTCTCTCTATATATAAATGTAATTAATCTACAGTGGCAATCTAAAATAGGGATTGCTACTTACATGTATCCTTTCAAGTCAAAGTCTCCAAATGTCGGATTGATGTAAACCCTAGCACACTCATCAACACTCATGACGACATGTTTACCTAAAACAAAAGAGAACACCAATGTAATATTCGAAAGTTTTTTATAGGGATAAGAAAGTAAGATAGGGAATCACCTTCAAATTCCTAAACCCTCCAGAATCGCATCATAGCCACTATTGGCTGATAATTGTAACTGGGAGAACTCAAAATCCTAGAAACCTTGTTGACAACCGTCTCACAACATTCTCCCAAAGCAATACAAGTTGTGCGATTTCCCCTATTTATCAAGACACATATGAGAACATCAATAATTCCCCAATGTAGCTAGACACATATGAGATTATAGATAATTAGCAAACTTTGACTCACATCATGAACAAAAGAAGCAAAAATGTAAAAAAAAAAACATAATTTACAGGCTTACATATTGTCCTTGATTGTAAGTTTCACATATCTAGCACTGTAATCTGTTTCGTTTTCACGGCAGACATACGAGATTCTTCTTATGGGAGACAGACTCGCAACCACCCCAACAGCATCTGAAAGATGCAAAAACCAATCGTTTTGAGTAACTGCAAAATATATCTAATAAATAAAACCAAAATCAGGTGTCTTTATTACCAGTAACATGATGAAATTACACAGCCATAGCATATTCAACTTCGCTAGGGAAAATGAAATGATAGAAGTTGTTGCTTGTTTTTTCAGAGACCGAAACCATCTTCAGTACTAGACTCGTTATGCTACCTCATTTTATTAAAACCTAAAGTATACACAAGAAGAAAAAATCGAACACTGCTACACACATTACCACACACACACATTAGAGACTGTCAGCTTAAAATTTCAGAAACTACAATATGTACAAAGTATTTGGAAATTTTTATATCAAAAGTATACATGTTGATGTGTTAAATTTTCTTAAACTATATTCAAACTATTTGGAGGTTTTGTATAAATTTTGATGTGTTACATTTTCTGACAATTTCCAAATGCACGGGAACAATACTACAAGATCAAATTCAGGATCAAACACCAAGTTTAACCTTTTTTTTTTTAACCAAGTTTAACCTTAACTAAGATTTCTCTACAAATCTTGAATTATAAAGTAATTTACGTCTGTGCTTTTTTTCATGTCATGTTTTATTGAAATTTTTAAGGACGCTCGTGCTTAAAACCAACTATAATATGGCCAGACTGGCCTGGTAATTCAGATCAACACTTTGAATATTCGGATTCGAGAGGGTCGTTTCGTTTACAAGAGAGAGGTGGAAGCAAACAAATTAAAATTGATTTGAATCAAAGAAAAACCAAGTGAATATAAACTCATACCTACTATATATAAACTCGATGTCTTCTGAAGTTGTCAAATCATAATCAACTTTTCTAATAAGAAAAAAAAGAAAAAAATTCATGACACATGGGACATGCAAATCCACTACTTGCTCAATCCACTACTTGCTCACTAACCAATCTAAAGAACCAATGAACCGCTAATAATTAACTTATAATATACTAATTCCTCAATAATAAACCTAAAACACCTTCACACACTATCACAAGTACATTCTCCAAGTTATATTTATTTATATATATGGATGTCCTTGGCAGGAGAAGAGCATCTCGATTTTTATTTTATTTTTTATTTTAAATTTAGCAAACAAAAAGCAAAGATGATTATAATTTGAAACACAACAACAATTTCTTCTTTTGGCTCCCAATAGAAAAAGTGAAAATTTTATAAGCTGCGAAATACATTTTGAGCTTAACTGCTTGGTATTTTTTGTTTTATTTTTATCAAAAGAAGAAAAAAGTTTTTTTAAAAAATTCACAAATTATTTCTGCTTTTTCGCTATTGCTTCAATACTAAAATTCGTATAAACGTAAAACAGTTTATTATATTTTCATTATTGGTGCTTAAAATAGTTCATGTCAACATCTTTTTTTTTGTTTCATGTATATGGGATGGCACACTATGGCAAAAAATGAACAAGTGACGTGTAAAAATGGGCGATTCTCTAAAATGTATAAAAATTCTAATTTATTAAATTTAGTATTTGTTAAATTTATTCTAAATCCAAAGTTATTGGATTAGTCATTTGTAGAATTTTATCAATGAATTATTCAGGGCCGGCTCAAACTTAGTGGAGACCATGTGATGTATAAAAATTGGTCTTTAATTAATATAGTCTTTTAAAACACATTTTTGAAAATTGTTAAAAAATAATGAATGAAAAAATTATGCATTCCTTCGAATTATAGGACTATTATTGTTATACCATTTAAACCCAATGTGTTTGCACGACCAGAGCACGTAACATCATTATTAGTAAATTCGAATACTGTACTTTTGTATATTAAGGTGGCCAACATACACTTGAATACTTTTTAACAGAAAAAAAAAAAAAAA